AGCTAATATCAACCAATCGTAGATGTGGTTGAGTCGTGAAAGTGTGGGGTGAGAGAAAACCTCAGAAACTTCCTATGATGAGGAAGGATGGAGATATGTGCATCTTTTAGATCGATCGTGACACACCAGTCCTCGGACTTGGTCTTGAGACACAACCTGTTTGAGTGCGAGCGTGCTGAACTTCAGTCCCATTACTGAGCTGTTCAAAAAACGCAGATTTAAAAAAAGACGCAACCCTTCATCGTTCCTCGGAACGGTGAAGTACCGGCTGTAGGACCCAGACTCTGCTACACGAGGAGGGACCACCTCAATGGCTTCCATCCTCAGAGAGTGTCTACTTCCATGAACTCCAGAACTGTACCAAACGGGTCTCCGCACCAAGAAGTACAGTTTCCTCATAGAGGGAGCTCTGGATGGAGGATGGTCTCAACAACCTCGGTTGAGAGACCGGAAACTATGAGTTGTGCCTCCTCAGAGGCCACCCCCACAGCTTCCACAGCTCCGGGTGGGGGCGCGCCCTCCGCCTGTGAGAGGAGATCTCTATTGACAGGAATCTCCCATGGAGCGCCGTCGAGGAGAGAAATCAGGCCCGAGAACCATACTTGGCCCGGCCCGAATGGGGATAACTAACAACAGACGGCCCCCATCCCGGCGCACGCTAGCTCGGTGCCCTGAAGTGGCGGACCGGCAGGGGACGGCCGTACTAGCTGCTCTAGAGACCTGCGCGGAGGTCGCGAGCCTCTTAGTACCGCTATGTTTCCGGGCAGTAACTGAGAGAAGCACTCGCCGGAGACCGCTGCGCCCTGGAACACCGGCAGGGTTGGCAGACCGATCTTCCGAGGGCACTGAGGAGAGACGGGCACCATGTAATGCGGTGTACACCGCTCTTCCCCAGAGGGAGCTGGCCCTCAAAAAGTCCTAGGCCTTAGGCGTCAGGACGTTTATGACGAAGACTATCCAGCGAGAATGACGGTCCGCAGAACCACCTTCCGCTAGAAGCCTTTGGCCTGGGAGCGCCAGTCTGACTCTAGACTCTGCGGAGTACGAGAAGTGAGGCCCCGCAGAATGAGGGACTGGAACATGCTAGTTTGGGACTGCTCCCGCCCAGCAGCCCCTGCTGACCGCCTCAACCTCCTCAGAGGAAGAGAGGTAAATGCATGCTCTCACTCGAGAAATTTTTATCCCAAGAGCCCCTGTATATCTAACTTCTCATAGTCACATAAATACTTCATTTTATTCCTCAGAATTAAATGCAGTCAAACAAC